AAGGCCTTGTTACACTGCTTGCACCTGAGAGGCTTCTCACCAGTGTGTATTCTTTCATGTGCTTTCAGACTTCCTGCCTGGCTAAAGGCCTTGTTACATTGCTTGCACTTGAAAGGCTTCTCACCACTGTGTGTTCTTTCATGTCTTTTCAGATCTCCTGCCTGGCCAAACGCCTTGACACAATGATTACAATTAAATGGTTTCTTACCACTGTGTGTTCTTTCATGTCTTTTTAGATTTCCTGCTTGGCTAAACGCCTTGACACAATGATTGCAAATAAACGGTTTCTTACCACTGTGTGTTCTTTCATGTACTTTTAGATTTCCTGCCTGTGTAAAGGCCTTGTTACATTGCTTGCAGTTAAATGGCTTCTCACCAGTGTGCATTCTTTCATGTGCTTTCAGACTTCCTGCCCGGCTAAAGGCCTTGTTACATTGCTTGCACTTAAAAGGCTTCCCACCACTGTGTGTTCTTTCGTGTCTTTTCAGTTCTTCTGCTTGGCTAAACGTCTTGACACAATGCTTGCACTTAAATGGCTTCTCACCAGTGTGTATTATTTCATGTACTTCCAGATTTCCTGCCTGGCTAAAGGCCTTCTTACCTGTGGATGTGGGTGCAAACACTTAACCTTTTCCTTCTATAATAGTCAAATATGCATTAAGGCTGCTACTAATGCTTTGGAAATTTCAGCTACAAAAAAATATTATATTCATCTTCAGACTATAAAAGCAGCACTGTTACTAACAGCCGGGGACCAGGTATTTCCTTAGTTAATACGAGTAAGAAAATAGACAAAAAGCACTTCCTGTTTGTTCAGTTCCCGCCTGGTATGCATATACCAAGCAAAGTGAAGTTAAAGTGACAGCCCTGTAAAAACTTAACCTTTTTTTTTACCTTTCAAAACTGTTTTTGGTGCCCTAGAATAATAATGTCCCAACATGCCTACCACAAGAACCACAATTCAACGAGGCTCACACAATGTGCAGAAAGCTGTGAAGTTTGCAACAAAAAGCTGATAATTAAAAACTGACCACAGAGTCTATTTGAAGCTATGCATGTTTCAACGAACACAAAAAGATACATGCTACCATGGACGGTGAAATTATCCAACCTGTCATGTTGAAGCTTTAAAACCAAAAAAACTAAGGTGTTTACAAGATATGGTAGAAAATATGATGATGGGCAAAAATGCTTCATATGATACACAGGGTCATTCCATATAATAATCAAAAACCCAGCTCAGGACATTATACAATGTCTTACATGATGCAAAAAGCATCAAAAATTGCTCTTATGGCTGTAATAGCGAAATAACTTTCCCACGCCAAAACCCTAATATGAATCGAAGACACCAAAGTGGGAATTAAATTGGCTCAATTCCAAAGAAGAAGGCTCAAAGTTCTATTTTTAATATCGGGGAGCTTTTGTGACCCATAAGAAGAACAAGAGAAGGTTGAAGTTTTCAGGAGTGATGACACATATACATGTGCATTAATACATTTTTCCAGTGCATTGAGGAAAAAGTCACATTTTCTTAGTGTTAACAGTAACGTCAAAACATCTCATCAACGTAATTGCCATGTGGCTGGAGGTGGGTTGGTTATTAAATTATAAATGGAATGGCCACAACCAAGACAAGAAAGAGATCAATGTTAGGGCAAAAACAATAGTCCAACAACGGATATACTTCTGCTCCAGATACATGTAGAATTTAAACCACATGTAATGAGTCCATAACCTAAAATGAAATATAAAGAAGCACGCCAGGGTGGCATCACTCACATAAATAATAAGAGTTACAAAACTTCAACATGACACAAATAACTTAAGACAGCTTTGAAACTAAAGCAAACTTGATATTTTTTCACTTTTCCTTTTTACATTCAAAGTTTGCTTTCTACTCCTAACAGTTTCTTGTGCGGTTTAAATAAATATTATATTAAATTGATGTCAACGCAACCTAAACGCTATCTTACGCTTTACTGTTATCATCCTTTGTTTTTGAGCTGGTAATACAGCTTGTCAAAAAATGTCTGATTTCTCCACATTTAAGTCTATTAGTTCAATTATATATACGGATCGTAAAACATACAACTAATACACGTACCTCTCAATATCATCAGCTGTGAACGTCGCATGAGCAAAGATGGCGACTTTCCCATGTCTTCCCATGCTCCTTTGTTTCTTCTTAAAAACCCTCATTCCCAGTTCCCATCGCGTTCAAGATGGTGCAAACTGACAGAAATATTTGTTTTAATTCAAAAATATACACCATCTTTATTCGATTAACCACCCCCCCCCCTCCTTAACTGTTTATGTAAACATTTCTAGAGTGTCCTATATTAAAAATTATTTTAAAAATTTCAAAAATTACTGACAACAATTATGAAAAATTATTTAGAAACATTTGTAAAGCAGAAAGACTTTTAAAGTTCCAATGTGTCGCTTTTTTGCTGAGATGGAATAGTTATTGTCTGGATGATGTAGGTTAAGTTGCCCCAAGTGCTTCACGCATAATGTTTGAATAAACGCCGCCTTGCTCTGAATGGGAGCGGTATTATAGGATAGTTTTCCATCTGCGGAGTTTACAGTCAAGCGTAAAATCACCCCCTCTCCACCAAAAGTTAAATTAATAATTTCATTATTGGAAGCTTTTAAATCGGCCTTTGGTTGTGAATTTCAGTTTCATTTCTGCACTCCTGCATACCTAGTGAGCAATAAAAATCACACACGAGGTAGTTATGAAATTTCTCCCAGGTCCGTTTTCTTGAAATTGATGCAAACGTCCTTAAAGCAATTTTATCCATTTTAAGTAAAGATTTTTCAATCTCAGGATCGAATACAGAGGGTTTTCCGTCAGTGCCATCGATTTCACAGAACAAGTACCAACTCCGGATTCCAGTTAAAGATCCGGGTTGCGGATCGCGGATTGTGGATTCCGAATTCCTGCTTTTATGCCGCAAACGCGAATACGGAGAAGTTATCTTGAAAAAGTCATTGTTCATTTATGCGCATGCAGGAAAACAGATTTGAATTTGAGGCTGGCTGCGGCAACGACTAACACATTCATTTCTTCAAATCATCGCTTCACTAATGAAATCTGGGGGTACGCTTGACCAGCCTTGATTGTAATCATCGATGACGGCATTTTATTGAGTAAATACAATACGGCATAGACAGAAGTCCAAGGGATAATAATTTAAATTAACGTAAAACAAAAACAATCTCACACAATGGAAAGTTTGTTGGTAATATCAGTTGTGGTCTGATTCATTTACCGCCGTGCTAGAAGAAGTCCTCCCATCAAACGAACCTTCGAGTATCCACTGGTGTCCCAAGCTCACGTTACGAGTAACTTTCTCAATAGAGAGTCGGTGTCGTGCTACAAGCAATCGTTGAGACTTCGTATGAGAAATAAAATACTAAGGTCTGCGAACGCTAAATATCATTATTCTTACTTATTTTTCTATAAAATAAATAAAGGAGACTTACCTTTGATGTATTCCTGTGTTTTTGGGGTAAATTCACCGATTTTTTGTTGTTTTTTGGCTGTTATTGTTTGACCCCTCTCACTCTCTTATCACGAGGCCTACCAGATCTTCATCCAGTGGTGTTATTAAATTTGTAGAGCCTAAATGTCAGACAGCAACTTATCAAAAGTCCTATATCATCAGATGCATACGCGTCTGGAACGTTGTTGCTGATGAGCTGAACCTGCCCATGAACGCCCTGAATGATTTTAAACAGGCAATGGTGGAGTATAACATAACCACCTTAAGTAATTATACGACTGGAGAAATCCCCGCACTTTTAAGCCTGCCTGTCTCAAATGCAATAAGTGTCGTAGTCTTGCCCAGCCTATCTCGTGTTGTTTTTAATTTTGTGATCATGTACAGTGAAACCCCCCCTATTAAGCGGACCCCCAATTAAGCGGACACCCTCTATTAAGCGGATACTAACCCGGGTCCAGAAACGAACGTCTAATATTTCCCTTTATAACGAACCCCTATTCAGCGGACACCTCTATAAAGCGGACGCGGGCACTAAAATAAGTTGTATTTGGCTATAAATTTCTTTTGTTAAAAACCTCTATTAAGCGGACACCGGACTGAATTGACAATAGTGGTATTGAATTATGTCCTTGAAATACGTACTGAAGTCAGCTAATGTTTTTGCATTTACAAACAAATTAAAGTTGGTAATGAAAGGTAATGAACCTTACCTCTAGATATCTTCTTTAATGTTAACAACATGCAACTTTATCACAGTACAGAGTAACCGTTGAATGTTGATCGTTAACAAACATTGCGCAATTTTTACAACCTCTATTAAGTGGACTAACCCTCTATTAAGCGGACACTTGGGAAGGTCCCGAAAATGTCCGCTTAATAGAGGTTTCACTGTATTTTAAATAAATTGGCTCGCGCTGTTGCGGAATCCTGGCCACTTTCTCTTTGTTATTTTGTTTGATTACCCTTATGTATTTGTATTTGTATATATATTACGTTGGCAAAACTAATAAAACAACTAAAATACATCAATTTCGTACTGCAGTTCCATGGTTTAGTTTCAAACAGAGGTTTGGAGGCTACACCTATATATTAAAGAAACCCAATCGAACCACCTGTTTAAATACATTGTTTGATTTCTTTTCATATATTTTTCTGCTTTCGGCTTATTTCTCATAATTCATACTGTTGGCCCTTTACACCTACGCTAGGTTTTGCGATAAACGCATTTTAAATTTTGGAAAATACCGTAAAATTTCGACAATAATCCCCGGGGCTTATATTTTTCAAAGGCCATTTTTGAGGGGCTTATTTTTGGAAGAGCTTATATTCGTAGAGCGAAATTTACGTTTCAAAATCGGCTACGTTTATACTGGGAGGGAAATGTGCGTCTCAAAATCCATTGGGCTAGCTTCTGGTTGGAAGGGCAATTTCTTTCGTTAATTTGTGGCAATTTTTTACCGAAACTCGCTTTGAGGGCCTGGATCCTTCTGAAACTCAACCATGCAAGTACTTTGTCTACATGTACCGAGGAAATCAAAGCCAAGACTGAATACTGAACTACGCAAACAGCAAGATACTGTAAAACCTTCTGACTACAATCATTTGGCACACGTAATACAGTCAAACCTCTTTAATACGGACACCAAAGGAACAGAACCAAGTGTCCGCTTTACAGAGGTGTCCGTATTATAGAGGTAGGGAATGTATGATTTTTGGTATTTCTGGGACCAAACGAACTGTTCGTAGTAGAGAGGTGTCCGTAAGAAGAGATTAGACTCTAGTTCTTTGGCAAATACAAACATTAATGTGTTACTGTACAGTTTTTCTTTGTTTTATTTTGAATTTGAGGGCAATTTCCGAGTACAATCAATTTGTGCATAGGCGTACGGGCAATTTTTTGCCAGGGGGGGCGGTAAACTATTTGCCCAAAAAATTCTCTCAAGTTGCCCAAATTTTTACGAAACAGTAGAAAAGAAACGAGGGCCATACGATGCAATAATGTAGGCCGTACTGGCATATGAAAGTGGCTCGATGCTATGACAGTTCTTCAGGGTCAATACCTCCCAATTTTGAGAATAACTACGTCGCCATAGACAAACATTTGGAAAAATTGCTACCATAGTTTTATTACTAGTAAAGATGAAAATTTATCATGAGCAGGGTTTTAATGACGTCGGAATTGTCATAGCAACGAAATGACGCCATTGTTTATTTTACTTCCAGCAATATTTCTCGGCACTGGGAACTGTTCCTACAAAATTGTTCACGGGAGCTTTTTTCTCCAATAGTCGCCTCGATGTTCGTGAAGTTAAAAAGGAATCTATAGGAGTGTTATTGGGATATTTTGGGATGAAGTTTTTATCGTTATAAATATGGTTAAAAAAATCTTGATGTTTGGCCGTTATTTGTAGAAAACGAAGCTCTTTTGACATGCATTTTCACCTCATGGTAGCTTCAATCTTTTTAAAAACGAGTGTAAAGGATATGATCATCGAGATAGCTCCGACCGATTGCTAGAGACAAGGATTTCATGAGTATGTATCGAGGCGCTCTTGTTAGCGGTTTTGTAAACATTTCGGTCTACTTTAATAAATTATTGCTTGATAGATTTTTAAACAAATTTAGTATTCTTCTCTTGCCTGCGAAAACATCCATTTCTCCTCGCTCTTCGCCGCTGGGGACGTTTCGCGCCTAATTCTTCTCGTAATTCGAGCTGAGTACTAGTCAGCCACTTCTTCATTTTCACACCCACTGTTGCTGATGCTATCTGCCATACACTGTTCTACGAGCGGAGATGATTCTAGAAAGATATGCGGAAGTTTACTCTAATCAATTCACGACTGGAAAGAGCCCATTCCAGTTAGTGCAGTGCAGTACAGTGCTCAACAACAAAAAAACTATAAATATGTAAATCAACAAATGATACCCTTCCCTATAACCAGAAACTCATCACGTGCTAGGAAACCACTGTGAGTGTCTCGAGATGAAGTAACTGGATTATTACGCTGACTTGAGGATTTTTTCAGATTAAAATAGAAAATATTTCTCTCTTTAGACTAATAAAAAAACATGGAAACGTCTTTGAAAACTGGCTTTGCCCAAATTTTCTCTTGCTGCCCAAAAAATCTGAGTTGCCCAACATTTGGGGGGGCTGCAGCCCCCCTCGCCCCCCCGGCCCGTACGCCTATGAATTTGTGGCTTTTCTTCGTTCCTCAAAAAAAGCCTTGGTTAAATATCAGACAATTGAATACGAAAGGAGAAAAACCACCGCGCCACAAAACAACCATAATTCAAATATAATCCTCACTGATAAGTCAGTATTTCTCAAGCTGTTTAAGGTAAAAGGAATAATGTGTGAATTTGAAATAGATCACATATACCATCACTTAGAGTTAATAAGAGTCGCTGATGGTTCATTGTTACTTCCAGTGCAACTCAATATAGTAAATTCTCACTGCATACACAATTGGCCCGTGATGTGGGAAATGAGTAACTCCTTAAATTTCCGTTGTGTTGGGCCTGCGCGCTGGTGGCATAATGCATTGCTGCCCTTGGTTAGAATCGCTCGATTTCCGCCCGCCTCTTGGCCAGTTCAACGGAGCAAGTTGAAGTGACTTCAAAGTTTTGCCCCTCCTACCTCCCCTGGTGGCGGTTGATCTCGCATACCCTCACTACTCTGCATACTTATTGTCCTGGCAGTCGCTGTTTCCTCCCATAACTTAGTTCCCCATGTCGGGACAGTAGGCATGCAGTGCAAATGTTATACGACAGGAACAGTTTTCGCTCGCTTAGTTCTCTGCTGTTCTTTGAAGATCTACTCAGGGATTACCGCGATTTGAACCAAAAATAACAATAGATATTAATGTCGAATCTTCGTTTTATTCACCTTTCCTCTGCTGAGAATCATCCTGCCAGCAGAGCATTTCTTTCGCTTGTTCGATTTTGGCGTACTTGTGAAAGATTCAGCATGAATCAAGGAAGATCTTTGTTGACCATGCGCGGCACGTTGCTAAGATATAGTTTCTAACCCAGGCCTTTAGTCGTGCGCTTGCTTCAGCCGGCTCGGTTATGACCATTGGTTCAAATATAGATGGATGCTCACACTCGAAAAAAACTAGTTTGACGACACAAAACAAGAGAGTTTAGTCCAGAAGTTCGGGCTGCGGCGACCTCAAAGGTCACGGACGTGATTCAGGCAGAGCTTCCTTTTCTCCTCCTCAGCCAATGAGGCTCTGCTCGGAGGGTGTTGAAAAGCTACAATCCTGGACAAAAGGCCTGGGGATTCCTGTAATTTCCTGGTTGTCGTAAATCGCCTTTAACGTCGCTTGTGGGTTGAGGGGAGGGGTTGGCCACATTCGACTTGAAAACGCCTCACAACAGCAAATTTTAGCTGAAATTTGTCTCATGAACAGGCTGTTTACAGCAAGCGGTTCAAGTGGTACAAAATTGCCATACTGGAGAACAAAAGATGTACTAGGACAACAAAAATGAAGAAAATTGCAATTTTATATGATGTCAGCTCTTTGTTTGTGTTGTCCCAGGACGTCCCTTGCTCTCCAGCATAGTAGACAGACTGATTTCAGACTGAGAAAACAGTCGCCATCTCGTGACGCCACCACTGCTTTTCCTGCCAAAAGACGTTTAAGGAAAAACCGCAGACAACGGATCAGTACCCAGATCTAAGTAGTGCCTCTGATTGGTTCAAGCAAAGTTCTCACGCCTCATGACCAGTCGTATCTGGGTGGCGTGACGTCATCAATATGGAGTTTCTGTACGTCGTATACCAGAGTAAGCTCAATTACCAGCCGCTGTTCGGGAAATGAGCCCACGCTCCTCCCCTGAACAGACAGCGGAATGCATGGGTTTGCTATTGTCAATTACCACCAATCAGATAGTTACCTCCTTAAATCTAGCAGGCAGCTTAAACTTATTTTCCTGCAGCATATTTTAAACGGAGGATGCAAATTTCTTGTTTGATGTGGCGCGCTACCGTGTTTAAGAGCGTTTTGAGCTTAAAACTTAAAATATTTGCAAGGAAAAGTACTACCTTAGAGAAACTGGCAAATGGTAGGTATGTTTTTGAAGTTCAACCAACCGGAACTATGGTTGTTGACAGCTTAAGTGAAAGAATACAATCCATACGTGTTTCTGTTGATTTTTTTGCTGATTTTCATGGCAAATGCCAAAGCGACGACGAGGCAAAGTACAACATTTGTTCGGTATTTAATGACACATCTCATTTCCAATGTTTGGTAACGGCGCATAAATTAAAATTTTGAATTTACGTCACAGCCACGATTGGCCACTCACGCGTCCAGCCGTCTCTTCTCGGGTACGACCGACTTTTCGTTTTCTGAGCACAGCGTAAACCAAACGCTAAACTTGAGGTCTATAAAGTGTTCCAGGATCGCTTGACTTTTCTTAATCGACATATGATAGTTTAGATTAGATGGATTTTTTCGATTTATCAAATTTATCGAGAATATAGGACTGCCGGTCATTTAGTGTTTTAAACCCCTTGACCGGCAGTCGACCTGAAAAAAGTTCCAAGTGTCACAAAACATGGTTTCGTTTTCTGAGCCCAGCGTAAAACAAATGCTAGACTTGAGATCTATAATGCATTTCAGGATCGCTTGACTTTTCTTAATCGACATATGATAGTTTGGATAGGTTGGGATTCTTAGCCGATAAGTCAAATTTATTGGAAATACCGGACTGCCGGTCATTTAGTGTTTTGAAAACCTTGACCGGTTACCGGCCATATAGCCACAGCGAAAAAGTTACATGCAACTGTATGACAAAAACTGATCACAGTGGCCAAAGGAAAGGCAAAAATAGAAATGTCACCATTTTCCTGACTTTAAAAATTCCCTTTGAAGCATATTTAGCCAGATGTGGTCCTTGTCAAAACATGCAAACTTGAACATTTATTTTCTGAACCTAGCCAATTTCATCTTTTTTAAACCATAATCTCGTTCCAAGGGGTTAAGTGTAGTTTTTGGAATTTATAATTTTTCCCTCCTTGTTTGCAACAAAACACACTTGAATGAGGACTCAAACTGAAGGTAGTGTAATAACTGCTGTCATGAAAAGAGAATTCCAAACAAAAAATAATTTATACCCTTTCATTTGCGTAAGATTCATTTGTTAGAAACTACGGTAAAGTTTAAATTAAATCATAAGAAGAACGAAATTAACTTAAATATATCAACATGTGCAAAATCAAGAGAGAATGATCTCTTGGCAAAATTTATTTAGCTTCTAGTACATAAAGAAATACATGAAGTACGAAATTTGACCATGCCACTCAATCATCCAACGCAACTCTGCCAGGATAAGTTCACAATGAAGGATGTAAAATTAAGAATCTCAATCATCATTTCCTCTCGTCTTAAAGGTGTAGTAAAACCGTAAATAACTCTGACAACTCTTCTACTCAACCACAGCCACCGCACTTGTTTGAATATCGCGAAGAATTAATTTTGGGCCTTTCACTTGAAACTACTTGAAAATTAATATAAACTCTACTACATACGCACTTCTTTTAGTCTTGGTCTTCTAAACAGAAACACATAGTCAAAAGGTCGGACATCGAGGAACACTGGGTTCACTATGACAAACGCAAGACCAGAGAGGAAAACGTAAGCTCCACATTCCCGCGAAAAAAATTAGTTATAGCAAAGAAAGCGTTGACCATCAGGTGGACCAAAAGCGAATTCACTTCACTCTTTGAAATCGCTGCGAAGACGAACTTGCTGCTGTTATTCCCAACCCGTTACGCACATGCTCGCTACAGTTCTCGGATGATTGACAGATTTCTTAACTGGGGCGATCATGGAAAGCAGAAAAGCGGCAAGATCAAAGGCCGTTGCCAGCCCCCCCTGATTCAATGATCACTAATTAGTTAGATTAATGCATGAGGGCCCCACTGAAAACCGCCTTGGCGAGTTGGGGTCCCTCTATAAATATTATTATTATTATTATTATTATTATTATTATTATTATTATTATTATTATTATTATTATTACAATAACCATAAGATGAAAGAGACTTAAACACAGAACCACAAAGTAATATATTTTTTCTTTGTCATGAGAGTAACACGTCTACAAGGTTCCAAACCAAACACCGCTCCTAAATATTAAAAAATATATTAACAACAATGCTGCCACAAAATTCAACCACTGATGTAATGACGCCAGTGATCAGAATCATCTACAATGACGTGATTACCGGGAAAATGGCCAATAAAAAGAACTGCCTCAACACCATATCGGTTGATAAAGAATGCCAAAAAATTCAACTTATTATAAGGATAAGCCGCACAAAAAGCTACTTTGCGAGTAACAAATAACTCACTTCCGTGAGGCCTTATCGCTAAAATCATGTTGTTACAATGATGATTGACACCATAGCAAACGTCTTGGTACCTTTTTCAAGAAAAAGGAGGTTCTTGAGGATCTTCAATCCCTAAAAGCATCAATGGAACGAGAAACTGAAACGGAATGGTTGAACCACACAAATGGATGCTTGACTGTAAATGTTAAAAAACTCTATCCTCGTCTATTTACGGTTTCTTTTTTAAGAAAACACCTAAGTGTCCAAGGAGTCTGCCACCACTAAAGCGTCAATCAGACGAGAATCGAAACTAAAACTACTACCATACACTGGGCGCGCACTTCCCACAAAATAACTTACAATGGCCTAAAGAGTGCAAATGATTCGCTGTAAACAGCATAACTTTTGAACTTTTCGTAAAAAAAAATCGTGGTTCAACTCCTTCTTGAACAAACTTGCCTCTTTTAGCAAAACTCAAATAGTGTTTTGTGTGGAACATACTTACACACTAGACTTTCTACAAGCCTTGAAAAATAGCCTTGTAATAACATCTTACTTTAATTTTCGCGTTAATTGAAACAAAGAAACTACGTATTTGATACCCCCTATTTAGTGTTGAGAGATCTGACATGCTATCAACTGGGAAGAACAGTAACACTTTAAACGATTAGGAAAGTTCCTTTTAGCAACCATAAAAATGACCCAGATCCAAATTCATATAACATTTTGTTGATTAGCTCAAATTTACAAGGAAATATTAATAAATCATTCTAAACAGTTAAGTCACACGATGTTGAATACGTTGATTAAATTTACGACGTTAGGTCTGGTAACCTCATATGGTCATCATAATGTTGAAGAAGCAACGGCTTGGTCGTAATCATCCTAAGACAAATCCAACAACGGTGTCTTTCTTCGTGTCCTTTGAGACGCTGCCTCCAACAAAAGGCCTTGTTAGATTGCTTGCACCTAAAAGGTTTTTCACCCGTGTGTTTTCGTTCGTGTTCTTTCACATATCTTGCCTGATTAAACGCCTTGTCACAATGCTTGCACTTAAATGGGCTTCTCACCAGTGTGTTTTCTCTCATGGAGTTTCAGATTTCCTGCCTGGCTAAAGGTCTTGTTACATTTTTTGCACTTAAAAGGCTTCTCACCAGTGTGTATTCTTTCATGTGATTTCAGACTTCCTGCCTGGCTAAAGGCCTTGTTACATTGCTTGCACTTAAACGGCTTCTCACCAGTGTGTATTCTCTCATGTCTTTTCAAATTTCTTGCCTCGCTAAAGGCCTTGTCACAATGCTTGCACTCAAACGTTACTAACAGCCGGGGTCCGGGTATTTCCTTAGCTAATACGAGCAAGAAAATAGACAAAAAACACTTCCTGTTTGTTCAATTCCCGCCTATTAAATGCATATACCAAGCAAAAGTGAAGTTAAAGTGACAGCCCTGTAAAAACTTAACACTTTTTTACATTTCGAAAACCTTTGAAAACTGTATTTGGTGCCCTCGAACAATAATGGCCCAACATGCCTACCAAAAGAACCACAATTCAACGAGGCCGACATAATGTGCAAAAAGCTGATAATTAAAAACTGACCACAGAGTCTATTTGATGCTACGCACGTTTCAACAAACACAAAAAGATACATGCTAGCATGGATGGTGAAAATATCCAAGATGTCATGTTGATACTTTGAAAACCAAAAATATTAAGGTGTTTACAAGATATGGTAGAAAATATGATGATGGGCAGAAAATGCTACATATGATACACAGGGTCATTCCATCTAATAATCACAAACCCAGCTCAGGACATTATACAACGTCTTACATGAGGCAAAAAGCATGAAATATTGTTCTTATGACTGTAATAACGAAATAACTTTCCCACGCCAAAACCCTAATATGAATCGAAGACACTAAAGTGGGTATTAATTTGGCTCAATTCCAAAAACAAGGCTCAAAGTTCTATTTTATTGTCAGGGAGCTTTTGTGACCCATAAGGAGAACAGGATGTGCATTAATACATTTTTCCAGTGCATTGAGGAAAAAGTCACATTTTCTTAGTGTTAACAGTAACGTCAAAACAACTCATCAACATAATTGCCATGTGGGTGGAGGTGGGTTGGTTATTAAATTATAAATGGAATGCCCACAGCCAAACAAAAAACATCAATGTTAGGGCAAAAGCAAGAGACCAAGAACGGAAATACTTCTGCTCCAGGTACATGGAGAATTTAGATCAGATGAGTCCATAACCTCAAATGAAATATAAAGAAGAACCTCAAATGAAATATAAAGAAGAAAGCCATGGTGACACGACCCACATAATGCATCAGTCAATTCCAGCTGCGCCCAGCCCCCTCCCCCCCGGGCTGACCCCCAGGTATTATCATTTTTTGCCTTGGATGGCAAATTTCCGAGGGTGGGGACTCTTGAGCTGTCAAATCCCCCGGGGTGGGGACGAAAAAAGAGGGCAAATGTCCCGTCCTCGGTCAACACTGCAACATTTTTCATTGATCGCACAGTCGAATAATGCCGTTTTTAGCATTTTAATGTGCGATTTTTTGTTTCAATTAACGTCTTCCTTTGTAATAGCGCTAGAATTCTAACGAAGACTTCACGCCGCGACGACATGCACCAGTTTGTGTTTTTCCTATTGATATAAAATTATTGACATTAAAATTAATAGAGCGTTGTAATGTTATATGTTACGAATAGTTGTTTAAATATGAAAGGATGTTCTTCAAATAATATCAACAGAAATTTGATTCAATAACCAAAAAACATTGATTCACATCGATAGCTCCGGTTTTCGCTATGTATAAATTCTTGCTTGATAGGCAATGAAGAAGTGCATGCATAAAATCGAGAACATGCCTTTACAACCCTCTTCAATTTATTCCCGTCCTTGACAGATGAGCCAATCTGCTTTTTTTCCAGTAAAACCTGCAGTTATATTCTGATAGGAAACTGAGTGCGTGTCAAAAGCTCGGGAATGGCCCTGGAGTTGGCAAATTCCCGGCCCACGGGCAGTGCAAAATTTTCAGATGCCCCACCCCCGGGACTGATAAGGCAGGCAAATGCCCCGCAGTTGCCCGGGGGGGAGGGGGCGGGCTGGGCGCAGCTGGAATTGACTGTGCATAAATAATAAGAGTTACAAGACATCAACATGACACAAATAACAAAAGACAGCTTTGATTCTAAAGCAAACTTGACATTTTTTCACATGTCCGATTTCTCCACCTTAAAGTCTATTATTTCAATTATATATCCGGTTCGTAAAACATACAACTAATACACGTACCTCTCGATGTCATCAGCTGTGAGCGTCGCTTGAGCAAAGATGGCGAGTTTCCCATGCATGTCTTCCCATGCTCCTTTGTTTCTTCCTGAAAACCCTCATTCCCAGTTCCCATCGCGTTTAAGATGGTCCAATTTGTTTTAATTGAAAAATATACACTATCTTTATTCGATTAAACCCCCCAACTGTTTATATAAACATTTCTAGAGTATCAGATATTAAAAATTACTGGATTTTAAAAATTTCACAATTACTGACAACAATTACGAAAATTTATTTAGAAACATTTGTAAAGCAAAAAGATTTTTAAAGTTCGAACGTGTCCCTTTTTTGCTGAGATGGAATAGTTATTGTCTGGATGATGTAGATTAAGTTGTACCAAGTGCTTCACGCATAATCTTTGAATAAACGCCGCAGCGGCGTTCATTGATTGATTGCTTTCTACACAGCGTTGATTGATTGTTCTGAACGGAAGCGGTATCATAGGATAGTTTTCCATCTGCGGAGTTTACAGTCAAGCGTAAAACCACCCCCTCTTCACAAAAGGTTGAATTAATAATTTCATTATTGGAAGCTTTTAAATCGGCCTTTGGTTGTGAATTTCAGTTTCAATTTCTGAACTCAGTCCTGCATACTTAATGAGCAGTAAAATCACACGCGAGGTAGTTATGAAATTTCTCCCAAGTCGGTTTTCTTGAAATTGATGTAAACGTCCTTAAAGCAATTTTATCCATTTAAAGATTTTTCAGTCTGATCGAATACAGAGGGTTTTCCGCTAGTGCCATGGATTTCACAGAACAAGTACCAACTCCGGATTCCAGTTCAGGATCCGGGTTGCAGATTGCGGATTCCAGATTGCTGCTTTTATGCCGCAAACGCGAATACGGAGAAGTTATCTTGAAAAAGTCATTGTTCATTATGCGCATGCAGGAAAACAGATTTGAATTTGAGGCTGGTTGCGGCAACGACTAACACATTCATTTCTTCAAATCATCGCTTCCCTAATGAAATTCTGGGGATACGCTTGACCAGTCTTGATTGTAATCATCGATGACGGCATTTTATCGAGTGAATAAGGCATAGACAGAAGTCCACGGTGTAATAATTTAGATTAACGTAAAACAAAAACAATCTCTCACAATGGAAAGTTTCTCGGAGATATCAGTTCTGGCCGGATTCATTTACCACCGTGCTAGAGGAGGTCCTCCCATCAAACGAGCCTTCGAAATTCCGGATGTGGTAGAGGAGAGTAACATCTCTAACATCTCTTGAAAGAGGTCAAGTCTGCTGCTGATGTTGTGTCTCTCCAGTCGGATCTGAATCGATTCGACGCTTGGTCAAAAGACTCCGGTCTCACTTTTAACGAGACAAAATGTAAGGCTCAGAGAATATCCAGGAAACTGAAGCCAAAAGGAAAGTTCTAGAGTCAGTGGTCACCGAGTGTGACTTAGGAGTCCTTGTCGCTTATGACCTCACATGGAGCAAACAAGTGTTTGAGCAGCCGTGTCGCGCAAATAAGCTGTTAGTTTACATTAGACGTAATACAGGATTCACACGAAGCACTGACGTTAGGCGATCGGTTTATCTCACTTTAGTTAGATCTATTTTCGGCTATGCAACCCCAATTTGGGCTCCTCAGTCTATCGAACTAATTACAAAAATTGAAAGGACATAGAGGTGTGCCACTAAATATATTCTCAAATTGCCTTTTTCCTGCACAATTTCCTACATGGATAGACTTAAAACTTTGGATCTCCTGCCATCAACATTCTCGCACGAGTATCCACGGGCGTCCCAAGCTCACGTTACGAGTCTGTCATGTAAACAGTTACTTTCTCAATAGAGAGTCGGTGTCGTGCTACAAGCAATCGTTGGGACTTTGTATGAGAAATAAAATACTAAAGTCTGCGAACCCTAAATATCGTTATTCTTACTTATTTTTTTATAAAATAAATAAAGGAGTCTTACCTTTGATGTATTCCTGTGTTTTTGGTGTAAATTCACCGATTTAGTCGGTTTTTTTGGCTGTTATTGTTTGACCCCTCTCCCTCTCTTATCACGAGGCCTACCAGATCTTCATCCAGTGGTGTTATTAAATTTGTAGAGCCTAAATGTCAGACAGTAACTTATCAAAAGTCCTATATCATCAGATGCATACGCGTCTGGAACGTTGTTGCTGATGAACTGAACCTGCGCATGAACGCCCTGAATGATTTTAAACAGGGAATGGAAGAGTATAACAAAACCGCCTTAAGTAATTACACGACCGGGGAAATCCCCACACTTTTAAGTCTGTCTGTCTTAAATGCAATAAGTGTCCTATCTCGTGTTGTTTTTAATTTTGGGATCATGTACAGTGAAACCTCTATTAAGCGGACCCCCAATTAAGCGAACACCCTCTATCAAGGGGACACTAAGCCGGGTGCCGAAGCGAACGTCTGATATTTCCCTTTATGACGAACCCCTATTCAGCGGACACCTCTATTAAGCGGATGTGGACTGAATTGACAATAGTAGTATTCGATTACGTCCTTGAAATACGTACTGAAGTCAGGTAATGTTTTTACATTTACAAACAAATTAAAGTTGGTAATGAAAGATAATGAACCTTAACTCTAGATAGCTTTAGTACAGAGTAACCGTTGAATGTTGATCGTTAACAAACATTGCGCAATTTCCACCAATCAGATCGTTACCAGCTCAAATCGAGCAGGCAGCATAAGTTTGTTTTCCAGGAGCAGATTTAAAACGGCGGATGCAAGGGTGTTGTTTGATGTCGCGTGCGATCGTGTGTTTGGGCGTTTAAAGCTTAAAAACTTATAATATTTACAAAGAAAAGTATTAGCTTAGAGAAACTGGCAAATGGTAGGTATGACTTTCAAGTCCAACCAACCGCAACCATGGTTGTTGACAGCTAACGTGAAAGACACGACTGTGAAGTTCATCGGTAATGCAAGATCGATGTAAATACAATCCGCACGTGTTTCTCCTGGCAAATGCCAATGCGACGACGAGGCAAAGTACAACATTTGTTCGGTATTTAAACCTCCTTTCGGGTGGGGTAAGGAACTGGATGGGGTTCTAATATATATCCTGAAGACTCCTAGCACTGTAAAAACAACGGCCAAGGTTGTAAGATTAATTTAATGAATTCAATGATCACTTTAGGCCCTAGCGTTCAAGCGCTATCCATTGTATAAAGATCTCTCTAGCGCATAACGTGATTTTTTCCCCGAATATTTATCCGCTGGGTAGTGATTTGTCATGAAGAAAGGACGGCCGTAATCAAACGTTTGGACAACCGGGGGCAGGAAAATAAGCAAGCCTTTGACGATAAAAAAAAACAACTGAAACGCACTTCCGATACACACTCGCGGCGCAAATATCAACACTTTCTAGGCTGTCTAATATGTAAAACATAATAGTCTAGAGAGCATTTTACTTCAAACCAAACACTGTATTTTCCATTTTTGCACAAAATGAGCATAACAATAAACATAGGCTCAAAACGGAACCACCAAAAAAAAAGATTTTCTTTGTCACGAAAGCGACACGTCTACAAGATAACAGTACAAATAAAAATTTTAAGCGTCAAAGTTACAAACCTAACACCGCTCCTAAATATAAAAAAAATATATTAACGACAATGCTGCCTCAAAATTTAACCACTAATGTAATGACCTCAGTGATCAGAATCATCTATAATGATGTGATTACTGGGAAAATGACCGATAAATAGAACTGCCTCAACACTATAACGGTTAATAAGGAATGCCAAAAAACTCAACTTATTATACGGATAAGGCCACGCAAATAGCTGCTTTGCGAGTAACGAATAACTCTCACTTCCGTGAGGCCTCATCGCTACAATCATTTTGTGACACTTTTAAATTTCCTTTAAAGGCCACTCGTTGACAGAGAACGTTCTGACACACAACGCAGTATATCTTCAAACCATTAGTCTCTCGTACAACAGATCCGCAATTTATGTTTGTTTTGCTTCGCTGTGCTTCGGCCACAAACTATATGAGCCGAAAACAAGAAGGTTCCAAAAATAAACTTTTTGCAAATGATTGACACCATAAGAATTGTCTTGTTACCTTTTTCAACGAAAACAAAACAGCAGGTTCCTGAGGGTCTTCAATCCCTAAAAGCATCAATCGAACAAGAAACGGAAACTGAACTTTTTTGCAAATGATCGAAACCACAAAAACTGAGGCTAGACTGTAAATGTTAAGAAACTCTTTTTTCGTCTATTTACAGAAAACAGTTTAAGTGTCTTAAGTGTCCAAGGAGTCTGCCACCACTAAATGCAGCAATCAAACCAGAAACTGAAACTACGACAATACAAGGGTCGCGCGCTTACCAGAAATTAACTTGTAATGGCGGTAAACGGTGTAAATGATTCGCTATAACAACCAAAACTTTTGAATTTTTCTTTAAAAAAATCCTGGTTCGACTCCTGCTTGAAAAAACTTCCCACTTTTAACAACACTCAAATAGTGTTTTGTGTGGAACCTTTTTTCACACTCCACTTCCTACAAACCTTGAACAATAGCCTTCTAATAAAATTTTCCTTAAATTTTCGCGTTAACTGAAACCAAGCAACTACATTTTTGATACCCCCTATTTACTGTTGAGAGTCGATTCTAACATGCTATCAACTGGGAAGAACATTAACACTTTAAACAATTAGGAAAATTCCTTTAAGCAACCAGGAAAATTACCCAGATCCAAATTAATTTGACTTCTTGTTGATTAGCTTAAATTTAAAAGGAAATCTTAATAAATAATTAAACAAAGTGAAGTCACACAATGTTGAGTACGTTTATTAATTTTACGACGTTAGGTCCAGTAACCTCATATGGTCATCATAATGTTGACGAAGCAGCGGCTTGGTCTTAATCATCCTAAGACAAATCCAACAACGGTGTCTTTCTTCGTGTACTTTAAGAACTTGCCTCCAACGAAAGGCCATGTTACACTGACTGCACTTGAAAGGTTTTTCACCCGTGTGTATTCGTTCATGTTCTTTCATATTTCCTGCCTGACTAAAGGCCTTCTCACAATGCTTGCACTTGAAAGGCTTCTCACCAGTGTGTTTTCTTTCATGTGTTTTCAGACTTCCTGCCTGGCTAAAAGCCTTGTTACATTGCTTGCATTGAAATGGCTTCTCACCTGTGTGTTTTCTTTCATGTCTTTTTAGATTTCCTGCCTGGCTAAAGGCCGTGTTACATTGCTTGCATTGAAACGGCTTCTCACCAGTGTGTTTTCTTTCATGTACTTTCAGACTTTTTGCATAGCTAAAGGCCCTGTCACAATGTTTGCACTTAAATGGCTTCTCACCACTGTGTGTTCTTTCATGTCTTTTTACATCTCCTGCCTGGCTAAAGGCCTTGTTACAATGCTTGCACTTAAATGGCTTCTCACCTGAGTGTCTTCTTTCATGTGCTTTCAGATTTCCTGCTTGGCTAAAAGCCTTGTTACACTGCTTGCACTTAAAGAGCTTCTCACCACTGTGTGTTCTTTCATGTGCTTTCAGATTTCCTGCTAGGCTAAACGCCTTCTCACATTGCTTGCACTTAAATGGCTTCTCACCTGAGTGTATTCTTTCATGTACTTTCAGATTTTCTGCCTGGCTAAAAGCCTTGTTACACTGCTTGCACTTAAACAGCTTCTCACCACTGTGTGTTCTTTCATGTCTTTTTAGACTTCCTGCTTGGCTAAACGCCTTGTTACATTGCTTGCACTTAAACGGCTTCTCACCACTGTGTGTTCTTTCATGTCTTTTTAGACTTCCTGCTTGGCTAAACGCCTTGTTACATTGCTTGCACTTAAACGGCTTCTCACCACTGTGTGTTCTTTCATGTGCTTTCAGATCTCCTGCCTGGCTAAAGGCCTTGTTACAATGCTTGCACTTAAATAGCTTCTCACCTGTGTGTCTTCTTTCATGGACTTTGAGACTTCCTGCCTGGCTAAAGGCCTTGTTACATTGCTTGCACTGAAAAGACTTCTCACCAGTGTGTATTCTTTCATGTACTTTTAGACTTCTTGCCTGGCTAAAGGCCTTGTTGCATTGCTTGCACTTCAATGGCTTCTCACCAGTTTGTCTTCTTTCACATACTTTCAGATTTCCAGCCTGGCAAAGGGCTTTTTTACACCGCCTGGATTTAAAAAGTTTTTTACGTCTATATTGCATCTTACCTGTGGATGTGGACGCAAACAATTAACCTTTTTCTTCAATAATAGTCAAAAATGCATTAAAGCGTTGCCTATATTTGGAAATTTTAGCCACAAAAAACTACTATAATCATCTTTAGACTATAAAAGCAGCGCTGTTACTAACGGCCGGGGACTGGGTATTTCCTTAGCTAATAAGTGCAAGAAAATAGACCAAAAACACTTCCTGTTTGTTCAATCCCCCGCCTATTAATTGCATATACCAAGCAAAGTGAAATTGGAGTGGCAGCCTTGTAGAAAAGTAACATTTTGTTTACATTTCGAAAACCTTTTAAATTATTTTTGGCGTCCTAGACTACCAATTTGTTCCAACATGTCTTTCAAATGACACACAACGCAACGAGGCTGACACAATGTACAAATAGTGAGGTTTGCTATGAGTTAAAAACTGACCACAGAGTCTATTTGATGCTATGCATGTTTCAACAAACACCAAAAGATACATGCTTATCCAAGGTGTCATGTTGCTGCTTTGAAAACCAAAAATTACTAAGGTGGCCGCAACATATGGTAGAAATATGATGATATGTAAAACAATGCTACATAATTATGATACACAGGGTCATTCCACTCAATTTTCACGCACCCAGCTCAGGACATTATACAATGTCTTACATGAGGTAAAGAGCATCAAAAGGTGCTCTTATGACTGTAAATATGAAATAATCTTCACCAGCAAAAGCCTAATATAGATCGAAAACACCAAAGTGTCAAATTAAAAAAAGGCTCAAAGATCTATGTTATCGGGGAGCTTTGGTGACCCGCAAGGAGAACAGGAGAACGGTGAAGTATTCAGGAGAGTTGACACATATGTATGTGCATCAATACATTTTTCCAGTACACTGAGGAAAAATTCAGATTTTTTTAATATCAACGTAACTGCCACGAGGGTAGGCTGGTTATTAAATGGAATGTGCAGTTCCAAAAAATATCCATACCCCCCACCCCCTGGAATTTCCATTCAAGGGGTGCTTGTCATAACCTGCCCACCCCCTAGAACTCTCATCATTTTATTCATGAGCTGACGACAATTGTTACATAAACTATTGTGCAAGCCGTGAAAAATGCAGTCAACCGAACTCAAATAAATATCATTAACAGTAAACTAACTAATAGCTTGCTCATCAATCTTACTCTGAGCCCCGGGAAAAGTAAACTCAAGAGGCCACCCCCCAAACCCACTGAATTGTCTCTATTTAGACCCTCCCTCCCCTCAGAATTTCCGTTGCCCTTCTTGGGGGGGGGGGGTGGTGGTATGGATGCCCACACAATGCCCACAGCCTACAAAAAATCATCAATGTTAGGACAAAGCAGAATACTAGGAACGGAAATACTTCTGCTCCAGATACATGTAGAATCTAGATCAGATGTAATGAATCAATAACCTCAAATGAAATACAAGGGAGCAAGCCACGGTGAAACCACCCACAGAAAAAATAAGAGCAGTTACAAAAATCAACATGGCACAAATAACTTAAGACAGCTTTAAATCTTAAGCAAGCTTGATATTTTTCACATTTCCTTTTTACCTTCAAAGTTTCCTTTCTACACCTAACAGTTTTTTGTGCGGTTTAAATAAATCAGAGATGTCACTAAGATTTCAAGTTGCTTGGTAAATATAACAAGTAGGAAGGGAATAAAACAGCAAGGGATTTCTCTTGGTTCTATTTCTCGTCTATTTCCCTATGAAAGTAGCCGGAAAAAATCCCCGACCCCGTCCTCTTAATGTCAACCCTGTAAATTAAGCTTATATTTAATCGATGTCAACCGCCAACCACGCTGCTAGCTTACGCTTTACTGTTATCATGCTTTGTTTTGAAGCTCATCATACAGCTTGGCAAGCTTGCGAAATATGTCTGATATCTTCGCACTAAACTCTATTAATTACTTCACTTATACATCCGATTCATAAAAGGTACACCTAATACACGTACCTCTCAATGCCGTCATCATGTGTCCGTCGCATCAGCAAAGATGGCGGCTTTCCCATGGCTTCCCATGCTCCTTTGTTTCTTTTTAAAAACCCTAATTCCCAGTTCCCGTCGCGTTCAAGGTGGTCCAAAGTGGCAAAAATATTTGTTTCATTTGAAAAATGTACAACATCTTTATTCGATTAAACCCACCAACTGTTTATATAAACATTTCTAGAGTTTCCGATATTAAAAATTATCTTACAAAATTTCAAAACTTTTTGACAACAACTATGAAAAATTATTTACAAACATTTGTAAAGCAGAAAGAGTTTCAAAGTTCCAATGTGTCCCTTGTTTGCTGAGATAGAATAGTTATTGTCTGGATGATGTAGATTAAGTTGCTCCAAGTGCTTCATGCATAATCTTGGAATAAACGCCGCATTGTTCTAGTGAATGGGAGCGGTGTTCTCAGGACAATTTTCCATCTGTAAATCCACCCCCTCTCCACCTGAATTTTGAATTTTATCCATTCAAAGAAATTTAAATCTGATCGAACAGTTATACAGAGGGTAACGACTAACGGATTCATTTTTCAAATAATCGCTTCATTAACGCGATCCTGGGGGAACGCCCGACTTGTCTTGACTGTAATCGATGACGGCATTTTATCGAGTAAATACGGCACAGACTAGGTTTTCCGATAAATGATTTTACCTTTCGGAAAATACCGTAAAATTCCGAAAATAAGCACCCTTTTTGAGGGGGTTATTTTTGGAAGGGCTCAAATTAGGAAGGGGAAATTTGCGTTTCAAAATCGGCTAAGAATATACTGGGAGGGAAATGTGTGTCTCAAAATCCACCGGGCTAGCTTACAGTTGGAAGGAAATTTATGTCAGTAATTTGTCGCACGCGCCTTAAGGACGTAGATCTTTCTAAAACTCAGCCATGCAAGTACTTTGTCTTATGTGCTGAGGAATAGAGCGAGAACTACGTTAACAGCAACATAGAGTGACACTTTATGATTACAATCATTTGGCAGACGTCATAAATCCTTGGCAAATGCAAAAAATTATGTCATTGTACCGTTTTATTTTGAATTTGAGGGCAATTTCCGAGTGGCTTTTCTTCGTTTCTCAAAGACAATCTTTGTTAATATCAGACAATTGAATACCCTGCGAGCAGTGGTTTCTCCAGGCCGGACGCTGCGCTACGAAAGGGGAGAAACCACCGCGACACAAAACAACTATAATTCAAATCCTCACTGATAAGTAAGTCTTTCTTAACCTGTTTAAGTTATAAGGAATAATGTGTGAATTTGAAATAGATCACATCACCATCACATAGAATTAAAAGGAGTCGCCGATGGTTCATTAATACTTCCAGTGCACCTCAATATAATAATTATTCCCCTGCATACATAATTGGCCCGTGACGCAAGAAATGAGTAACTCGTTTAAATTCCGTCGTGTTGGGCCTGTGCGCAGGTACTATGATGCATTGCTGTCCTTGGTTAGAATCGCTCGGTTTTTGCCCGCTTCTTATCCAGTTCAACGGAGTTTAGTTGAAGTGACTTCAAAGTTTCGCCCCTTCCACCTCCCCTAGTGGCGGTTGATCTCGCATACCCTCATTATTCGGCATGCCCATTGTCCTGGCAGTCGCTGTTTCCTCCCATAACTTAGTTTCCCGCGTTGGGACAATAGGCATGAAGTAAGAATATTATACGTCAGGAACAGTTTTCGCTCGCTTAGTTCTATGCTGTTCCTTGAGGATCTACTCAAGGACTAGTATCGCGATTTGTCCCAAAAATAAAAATGAATATTCATGACAAATCTTTGTTTAATTCACCTTTCTTCTGCTAAGAATCATCCTGCCAGCAGAGCCTTTCTTTCGATTGCTTGATTTTGGTGTACTTGTACTTGTGAACGATTCTGCATGAATCAAGGAAGCATGCCCGGTACGTTTCTAAGTTGTAGTTTCGAACCCAGGCCTTTAGTGGTGCACTTGCTTCAGCAGGCTCTGCTATGACGATTGGTTTAACCATAAATGGATGCTCGAACTCGAAAAAAGAAACAGTTTGACGAGAGAAAACAAGATTGACTAGTCCAGAAGTTGGGACTGAGGCGACATCAAAGGTTTGACGTGATTCAAGCAGAAGCTCCATTTCTCCTCCTCAGCCAATGAAGCTCTGCTCGCACGGTGTTGAGAACCTACAATCCTGGACAAAAGGCCTTGTGAAACTGATGAAATATTTGTGATTCCTGTAATTTCTGGTTGTCGTAAATCGCCTTCAACGTTGCTTGTGGGGTGAGGGGAGGGGTTGGCGACATGTGACGTCAAAAGCCTCACAACAGCAAATTTTAGCTGAAATTTGTCCCATAAACAGGCTGTTTACAGCTAGCTGTTCACATGGTACAAAATTGCCATACTGTTGAACAAGAGATGTACTGGGACAACCAAACCGAAGGAAAATTGCTATTTTATATGATGTCAGCTCTTTGTTTGTGTTGTCCCAGTACGTCCCTTGCTCTCCAGCATAGTAGACAGACTGATTCTAGACTGAGAAAACAGCTGACATTTCGTGACGCCACCACTGGCTTCCCTGCGAAAAGACGTTTAAGGAAAGACCGCAAACGAAATATCACTACCCAGATCAAATGCATCTGACTGGTTCAAGCAAATTTCTCACGCTTCC